ATATTTAAGGATCCCAGACTGATAGCTGGGAAACCAGCATAGGACTGACTCAGAACATGGGTGTCAGTTAGGAGGACTGGGCAGTCTATGGGGCCTCTGGTAGTAGATCAGTATTTATCCCTAGTATACGAATGGACTTTGGGAGCCCATTCCACATAGAGGGATACTCCCTCAGCCTAGACACATAGGGGAGGGCCTGGACCCTGCTCCAAATGATATGGCAGACTTTGAAGATTCCCAAGGAAGGCCTCACCCTCCTGGGGAGCAGAAATGGGGGTTAGGGGGCAGAGAAGGAGGGGAAGGTGAGGGAACTGGACTGACATGTAAAAGAAGCTTGTTTCTAATTTAAATTTTAAAATTATCATTAAAAAAGAAACATATTTAATATTGGCTTTCATTAGTATTTTTTGACTTAAGCTAAATGGTAATGATAACAATGATATCATTTTCTTTAAGTGGAACTCTTATGTCTAAAATATTATGGCACAAAATCAAGCCACAAGAAAGTCCATATTATGCTATCCTCCTTGATTTTCTGAAGAAAAACAGTTAATCTTTAAACAGAGTGCAAATGAAAATGGCACAAGCAAAGGGGAAGACAGGTTGTATAAAACTGAGTTCCTCTCTAGTACCTTGAATGCAATCCTAATAAGCCACTCCATTATCTCAAATAGCAGGGGAAAACATTTAGGTTGAAAATGGGTACAATTTATTTTGGCATTGTTGATAACATTTCTTATCAAGTCAGACCTTGAGTTGAAAGGTGTAATTCTGGCTTATCATAGAATATAACTTTATTTTAAACTTTTCTATTTTATTGCAGCAAAATGTTAAGTATACACTGTGTGCATTCCTCAGGTCTAGTCATATTAAATTCTGACGTGAAGCAGAAAGAGGAAACCACATACAACTAGATTAATTTATCTCGAGGGAAAAAAAGAGCTCGTTAATAACCAAGATGATGTTTTCATAAATGTTGGAATCAAATATGCCTTTCACTTCTTCATTAGAAAACACATTAGTATAAAGTTATCTCGCTCCCATCTATTAGATGTAACTGCTGAGAAAGAGTCTGTTTTCTTTGAATGGCCAGAAAGATGTCTGCCTAAGACATCTAAATAGAATTAAAGCCTGTGTTCAAGTCTGGTTAGAAGCAATGTATGTAATTGAAGGGCTGCTTAATGTTTTCTGTAATGTTTTTGTTTTAAAGTATCTAAACCTGTTATTTTTCAAAACACATTAAAATTCTAATCCCAAAAGAAACTGACCAAATAGAAGGGGGGGAAAAAGGAGTAATTTTTTTAAAATTTGGTTTTAACTTGCTATTTTTAAACTGAAAAAAAAATTAATAGCCTTAGATCATTAGCAGGGTGGAGATTAAATGTGAAGCTTCTAACCATGTTAAAGTGTGGTATGTACTTCTTTAAGATGCTGCATTGAATTGCCGTGATTATACACAATGAACATGTTAACCTAAAAAGTGACAGCATGCTTGCAAACAAATTCCCATGGCAATGTACATCAAACATTTAAAAGTTCTTCAATGAATAATCAAAAGGAATAACTAAATGTGAGTCTGTTTCCAACATAACCTTTCATGTGTACAATACATTACTGAAGCAGAACCAAACATGCAACGAACTATAAACTGAAACAAAAATCCAACATCCACTCAGAGACAGTAATGGGGGAAATTAGCAACCCATTTATTTACTGGAATAAAGATACGCAACTCTGGTAAGATCTATCAGGACCTGAGAACTGAACTCTAAATATGAAGACATTCTTTCAGAAAATATGAAGAAAACATGTTAAGAAAAAGAATGATTACAGTTGACTTTTAAAATGAAAGAATCATGATTCAATCTTTTAATGCTCTTGAAAATCTGTTTTAGGTCACCCTGATATCCCAAAAGATGTCTAAAATAATATTTAAGTGAATAATTATTGTGTGAGTCATTAAAAAAATATTGCAAAGCCTTTCCTGTGAAGAGCTATAGTGTAGTCCAATGGACTCTATCTGATACAAAACATTATTAAACTTTTTCAGGATAGAATGCAAGCTTAAAGTCTAAAATTTAAAGAGCAACTTAATATTTATACTTTCCTATTATTAAAAGTGACTTGATTCAAATAATTATGTCTGATAAGTCATGATGCTTAAATTTTTAAATAATAATTTATTCATATTTTAATGTTTTGTTTTGTTAAGACAGGGTCTCAAATAACCAAGGCTGTTTCCAAACTTCCTATGTAGCTGAGGCTGACCTTCAATGCTTGATCCTTCTCCATCTCCCACAAAATGCCTAGTTTTATACAGTGCTGAGGATCAAACTCAGGCTATCACACATGCTAGGCAAGCACTCTGACAATTGAACCACATTCCCAGCCACTCATATTTCATGTCTTAAAAGTAATTATACTAATAAAAGTCTATACCCTATTTTAAAAAGTGTTCTGTCACTACAAATAGTCACTGCCACTAAATTTCCCCAGACAGTAACATTTTTTTTTATCCTCTCTCAGGAGACATTTTACATGGCTGAAATTTCAATATCCCGTCAGCCCCCCAAATGCATGTCCTTCTAATTATTATTACAGAGGGATGATAAACAGATAGATTAATTATGTTCTAAACTAGGAGTAGGAGTTACAGATCATTCAAGCACGAAACTAGCAGGTCATTTCAACACCAAGAACTAACTTTATATATCTTCCTAATACACTCAACTCACCTATCCCAAACAATAGGTGAAACTCACTTTAAATCCATGGAAGTATTAAGGGGGAAAAAAAAAACAGTCTTATTGTTATGACAGAACAACTCTCCATTATGTACTAACCAAAAGTGTAAAAAAAAAAAAAAAAAAAAAAAAAAAAAGGTTCCATAGCTTTCTATGTTAATATGTATTGTTGAAGCCTGTATGTGTAATGGCTTCTTGCCAACATCCCAATCACTCAAAGTCTTCTAGGGGGAAAAAATGAACTATGGGACTTTTTTTCACATTTATGGCTTTGTCCTCCAAAGCCTAAAAATAGACGAGCATCAGAGGACGGGATCAGTTGGGTTTCACATTTTCAGATAGAACAAATCTGTACCACAAACAACTGCTTTGTGGGTTTCCCTGAGAAGCATCGGCAGACCTTTAACAATGTGGTATTAGACTCCTTAATAAGAGCACCGGACCATGAAGAGTTCATGGGCGGACTTTATAAACTTGAAACCACACTGTAGGTTACAACTGAATTAGTAAGAAACAGAAAACACCGAGAAAGGACGTCAAAACCAGACGCTTTCATTATGTCCTAGTTGTCAGTTTTGCTATGCAATAGCTCTAACTTTGCCTCCAGTAGTTTCATGCCAAGCCACTTCCTCCTGCCTATTTTAGACATTAAAATTCTGAAGTTTTACTGTTGGTTTTGTTTTTATTGTTTTAAGACAAGCCTCATTTAATGATATAAATATGCACAATCCTTCTCCCCTCGATCAGGGATTCCATCCAGAAAGAAGGAAAAAAAAAATTTTTTTTTTCAACTGCTTTCCAACAACTGTTTAGGAGTGATAAGGAAACTAGAAGCCTGGATCCAGGGCTCTGTGGATAACTATAGAGCAGATGGCTCATGGGCTGCCCTGTCCTCACCATAGGCTACTGGGCTACAGTCTCCTATGGTCATTCTTCCTACATCAAGGGAGACTTTGCAAATACAGGCCTCAGCCCCCTGACCCCAGTAGTCATGTGAGGGTTCTGGCTATAACTCTCTCTTGAGGGCCTAATACAAAGCTGGTCAAAGGGTGCTCAGTAAATATGCAAGTGGATTGTTAAATGTACATTTTTACATAGTGACTTGGGATAGGTCATCTCAAAAATGATCACATTGACAAGCCATTGAGTCATATGTAACCAGAAAGATCATGGTTACTTAAATAGCCCTATAAGCAAGCCCTAGAGTCTACATAATAGTAAGGTCCTGATAATTAAGATCTTACTTTCCTAATGACTTTTCCTTCATTAGTTCACCTGGCTGAAGATTTATAGCATTTACAGTTATGGCCTCTAGTATGTAGTCATTCATAACCAGTTTTCCATGGATTGAGTAGCTAAGATCAGTCAAAGAAGTATTTAACTATAACCCTCTCACTTTCAGAAGTGGACCTCAATCAAGCAGGAAGCTCTGATTAGGATTTTTCAAATATAGTATTTTTAACTAATAGTCAGAGTTAGCTTATACCAAAATGCTGTTTTCTTATGTTTTGATTATCCACTTTGTTAAAAGTTGCATGATTTCACTTTGTCAGAAGAGAAATCAAAGTTTTAAGTTTTGATTTACATTATAATTCATGAACGGGTCTGGGTATTTTCACAGTTCTAGAACATGTTTTGGTCTCTCATGTTCAACATTTACCAAAAAGAAAAGCAAAATGTTTTAGATGATCTAGAACTGGCCAGAAACTTGCTCTGTCTGTAGTCAAGGGTGACCTTGAACTTCTGAGGAGAGGTTTTTACCTCTACCTCCCCAGTGCTAGGATTACAGGTGGTCATCCCAGTTAAGTGGCACTGAAGACAAAACCCAGGGTTTCTTTATTAGGCAAGCAAGCACTTTACCTTATCACCACAAACTTGTTTTCACCTGAGAAATCACCCTGACTGCCCCCTCTTTGCTTCTGTGGCTCCAGGCACAGAAGAAACCTTGTGAGAGGAGCTGGGAACCTGGCTCTAATTGTAATTCTACCTCCTCCTTGGCTGTTTTCAATTGTCCTCAAGATTGAGAAGAGGTCCCGGGGCTAATCCTTCCCAGTTTGAACAGAGGCAGGTTAAAATGGCTCTGGCTTCTGCAGCCCACAGGCCCCACAGAAAGCCACAATCTGTCAGCATCCTCACTGCAGGAACTTCAAAAGCCAGCCCTCCACTGGACTGCGCAATTTAGCCTCCTGATACATCGGTGGGGCTGAGAGTGGGGGCCCAAGCTGTGTAGCAAGGCGTTCAGCTAGGGCTGCTTACCTCCCAGAGGTGTTGCGTGTTCCTCACAGCGCCGGTCTGCACTTTCTCCGGGGGCAGGAGCACGCCCTGGAAGGGCCCAATCCAGGTGCCCTGCTGGATCCTCTGCGCAGCGCAGATGCCGTACGCCAGGCCGGGCACCGTGCTGGTGCACAGGCACACCTCCCGTGGCAGGTCCCGCAACCACTCGGGCAGCTCCGGCGGGGGTGCAGCGGCCGCAGCGCTGCTGGTGCCCACAAGCCGGCGCAGCGAGTGCAACGGCCCGTGCATGGGGCACTCGCCGTTGCGGTTGTCCGCGCACATGTCGCAACCTGTGGAGACACCAGGGAAGGAGGGAAAGGAGCGCGTTAACCCGGTCTTTTGTCTGGGAGTAGAGGGAGGGGGGAAGCTACTCTCGGGCAAAGTTCCTAAATGGCAGCAGGTAAACCACCTGTTTGGGGGGGGGGGCACCAGAAGGGCGTCGAGGCCATAGGTTGTGGGAAAGAAACTCACACCACATCCTAGGAATTTGTTACACTCAAATATGCCTGCTGGGATCAACGCATGGCTTCAGCGTTGGTTTTGCACAGCCAGGTGTGCTTTCCGTGCTCCTAATGCTGGCACCTTTTGCTTTTGATCAAGTTGCCTGCATTTCAGCTTCTCTCTCTAACCCTCACCGGTTCCTGTGCCTTCGCCCTTCTCCAGCATTTCAGGATGTGGTTGTCCCTGCTTCTTCAAGAAGTCTGTCTCTTGTCCAACCGGTTATCTCAGATAGTTGCCTGAGTGTTTGGTTCTGCTCTTAGGCTATCAAAGCGGGAGTGACAGGTACAAACACCGATAGAGCTTCCTGCTCTATCACCAGAGCGCAAGCCCCAATTCCGGCCCTGTGGGGGGTAAGATCCGAGTCTCTGTCCAGCACCCACACCAGGGACTCTGGCCAATAAGGATAAATGGGAACTAGGGACAAGTGGCGGGGGGGGGGGGGTGTCAGTAGTGATTGTACGAGCAAACTGTTCCCAGAGGCTAAACCTGAAAGGAAGTTTAAGGATCAGGGTAAAGTGTCTTTAACCATCTGGGTAATGATTCAATGGGCAGGCAGGAAGGCTGAGCCCAGGTTAAATGAGATTGTCTCAGCTAGTGAAACTGTTTCTGAAGCTGTTCTTAAGTTGCCCCAGGGCAAACAGCTCGCAGAGAGGCTCCTAACCTGCAGGCATGCCTCTCCAGAGCACCCACTGTCATTTGATTCGAACTGGGTGGAAAGGGCCAGGCAGACACTAGAATCTAGGCTTTCAGCAACCATGCTGTCGGAATCACAGAGCCTAAGGGTTATTAATGGGCCTGGCGGAGCCACTGTGTCTGCTCCCTGGTGTGGCTAGCCTGCTCAGAGGACTCTGCCTCCTCCTGGGTCCAGCCTCCCTAGGTCCCTCAGGGTCCTCCTGCAACCAAGCCCGGTGACACTGCCCCTGACACTTAGTTCCTCTAGTGGTGGAGTTGGTAAAGAACTATCAGGGTACCTGAATTGCCTTCCTGGTTTCTTGGCACCTGTCCCTTGCCTTCATGGCAGCTAGCCCTTGTAGATCACTCTGAATGTTCCATGTCTGTGTTGAAACTGCAGAACCACCCCCCAGATACTTGTGACAAGGCACAACAGTGAAGAGTTTTTCATAAGGAACACTTAATCACAACCCAGAATAGATCCAGAACCCTTACCATGCCAATTGCTTGATAATAATGGTTGACTATGTGAGCATCCCATCTCCCTGAAGGTGGTTCCAATTAACTGTGTCCTGCCCTCAACAAGCAGCCATTCTACTCCATCTAAGATTGCTCAAGGAGTACTGAGTTGCAACTTCTTAGTGACTGTCCCCAAGCCTTCTATGAGAAGCAACATCCTGTTTCTGCAGGTATGCCTTCTTTAACACAAAGACACCCACACTCTGCCAGCAACATAGGCTAACGTGGGGACTCATCAAGGCTCCACTTTTGACCCTAAGGCCTAGATGAGAGAGTACAATGACACTCATCCACAAGCTAATGTCAGAGACACATGTATTTTTCACTCAGCCTCTCATACTTTCACTTGCGAACAACAAACAACAAAATCAAGATATTGCAGAAACAAAAGAACAAATAAGTATTATCCCTAAGTGCCTTCTGTATGTCGTGGATTTGTCTTGCAGCAACTGCCACTCTAAGTGCCATGATTCCCATTTTGCAGATGAAGCAAAAGACATTGAAACAGGACCAAGAACCAAGAAACAAGAGACAGCGAAAAGATTTGCCCTCTCAGTCTGCCTGACCCTAAAGTCTTCCAAAGCAGAAATTCAGAAAGACTAATGAAATCCAGGAGAATTTTATATACCAACTCATGACTCAATCAATAGAATTGAGAGAGTTTACTGCTATAACCATTTGGGGACCACAAAAAGAACTCCAGCATGGTTGAGTTACAGAGTTATAGGGACAGCTCTCTCTCCCCCACACTCTTGGGCATGAGGAGGCTAAAGTATAACAATGGGGAAATAAATAGCCACTGTCCATAATTTTTAAGGTGTCTAACTTTGAAGACACATTGTTAAAATGGCCTTTCACCACCTGGGGGGGGAAGCTTTTAAAAAATGACAATAAGAAAAGGCAATGTGCCCATGAAAATAACTATTAATCACCCCCAGGGAATGCTTAACTGATTTTTCCTTTCTGATTCATTCAATTAAGTGAAGAGTGAGAAGCAGAAAACATCCACTACCCACAACCTAATAGCCTGTGCCAAAAATTCTATCACCTTCCCAGTTCTCTATGTGGAGCATCATATCACCTATGTGGATAAACAGACTAGAAGCAATTAACTCCAGCCACCACCCCACAAACAAGAAGCACACTCCCATAATATCTGGAATGAATTGCATGATTTAACTCTTATCTAAATGCCACTGCCACTGCCATTTGTTACATATCATTTTTCTCTACAGAATTCTTTAAAAGCAGCATTTTTTTATAGAGTACTAAAACCTTAGGCTCCCCAAACTCTAAATGTCTATATCCTAAATTCACAGCAAAGTAGCCCTGCCCTGTCAGTCCATGCTAATTAGCCCACTTAATGCGAGTCTTAATAAAATGTAAAAATATTCCTCCCAGAAAAGTTGACCAATTACCATCAAAATAAAGCTAGGTATAGTGCCCAACATTTTTACCACACAAAATCGCTCAGATTGAAAATGTTTATTTCTAACCTGTCTCAGAGTCCCAGAGAAGCCTGTGAAAGTTTTGAACAAGTAACTTTTTTTTTTAGGATTGACAAATAGTCACAAGTTGGCAAACTGTTTTCTAGCCAGTGAGCCACAAACACCCACATAAAAAGGTTTGAACTACTCCCCCCCCCCCCACACTGTATTCCAGGCCTTTAAAAACCAGGGATTTTTGAACAAGTTTACAGTTATTATTCACAAAATGATTTGTATGTCACTTTAGAATAGAGAATTTCAGCAATCTAGGTCTCTCTTACAGCACATCTGCCTAGGGTCTATGAATAAGGGAAAGGGGCTGCTGTTGGCTACCAGCTTGCCCACCTACTGACCTCAGAAGGTCAAAGCAGACCTTCTGGGTGACAAGACATCCTTCACTCTCCATATCCTTCTTACTGTGCTTGGGTTTTTGTTCGTGTGTTTGATTTCAAGTGTGTCCACTATTTTTACCACTTTAAATGTACCCCATGCTCGGAGAAAAGGAGCAAAAGAGGCGATGGGTCTATTTTCCAACATTTCACTTCTCATTCTAGAAAAGGTGAAATATAAAGCACTTCAGTGTTTTTGCTGAGAAGCAAGTGTAGAGTCCTTTGGGTTCTGTCCACAAAGCTTTGCCGGGGAGTGCCTCCACACTTGGCTTTCCCTGGGCAAAGTCTCTCCTGTTCTCAGAGCCTTTGGTTAAGGAAACCACAGAGTAACTTGGAAGCCTGCAGAGCGGGTATCGCTCAGGCAGTAAATCCTTCTGGGCGGCAGTGGCAGATGGGGTCACAGCTCTCAGTCCTGTAGGCCAAGCATTGAGGGGGCCTGGGTACATTGATCGGCCCCGGGAGTGCCACCTTCTGGCAACCCGGAGTCCAAAGCCCCCCCCCGGGGGGGGGGCAAAATGGACTGAGGATCCTAGGGCAGCCCAGCACTCTGAGTTACTTTCCAGGGCTCCATCACGCCCTGCCTTCCCGTTTGCAGGATGTATGTGGACAAAGGGTGGTGCTCAGCAGACTGGTTGCCTTTGCCTCACCCAGCTTCTAGCCAGGAAGGGCTCCCAGAGGTGGAGACTGCCAATGCCTTCTGAAGATCCAGCCTCAGTGGACACTTACCAGGCCCGTGGTCCCAGAATAGGGAATCGCCTAGCCTCTATCATCGTCGCCCACCCCAGAGCATATCTAGGCATCCCAGAAACCAGGCAGCCAGAAAAGAAGAGCCCATTGTGGTAACCCAGCTCACCGGGATGCGCTGAGGATTCTGGCCGCATCGCAACACATAAAAACCAGGGGCTTTCTCAGACTAGCCTGCCTACTCGGCCCAGGGACCAATAAAAGACACAAAGAAGGAGGGAGGGAAGGAGAGAGGGAGGGAGGGAGGGAGGGAGGGAGAAAATGTGGATTTTATTTGTCTCCTGGTGACTGTATTAATAAATTAAATGAGAGCGCCAGGGTGTGAGGGCGAGAGAATATTGCACAGAGATAAACCTGGCCGCCCTCTGCCCCTGCGAGGCCGCCATATACAAGGCAGAGATGATGAATAGGAGCAGCAAGAGGAGATCGAAGCAGGTCTGGGCTGGCTCCACTCTGTCCTACAAAACTATAGGGCAATTAATTGTGGCTTGTCCTCTCATCCTTCATCTCCTGGTGGCACATATCGACGGAGATTACTGCTGATGGACCATTTTATCACCTTAAATAAACAGTCACCGCCTCTTCTAACCTCAATCTAATATATGGCTCTATGTTCAGTTTCAGGGCTCTGGATAAAGAATGATGTAAAATAGCTAAATCGTGTGTTACGAGGTGGGGCTGGACCTGCACACAACACGTGAGAAAAAGAAAAATAGAACAATATAAAAAGCCCGCACACTAATGCTGAAGCCCCTCCCCCCAGGGGACCAGGTCTGAAAGCTATAATAAATCGCTTGTTGGTCTTTAACTCGCAGGCTGGGAGTGGAGCAGCGGGTGTGTCTCCTTGACACTAAGATCCCCTTAGTAGGTTCTCAAGAAGTACCCCCAACTAAGAAGAGGGGGATCAATTAGGATAAAGCCAGTACCCAGGATATTTCCACACCCCCCCAGCAAGGCTCCCTGCAACCCCACAGATATCAACCCTTCACTATTCTCAGTCCCTTCCCAGGGTTGCCAGCAAGGAAGCTTGCAACCCTATTTCCACACCCGTAGTTCCCAAAAACCGGTTCCCTGCATGGGTGTGCTTTCCTAAATCAGAAGGATCACAGAGCATGCGCGCCAACACTGAGAAGGTGTAGGGTGACCCAACTCTAACTCTGCTGAGATGATGGCAGCTCTCTGCACATACTGTGGACATACCCAGAGGTATGTAAGAGGACATACCTCTTACAATCCTCCAGGAGTACCTAGTAGGTCTCAAGAAACCCTTCAGCTACCCAGAACTTGAGAAGAGGCCACTGGGATGGAGCTCCAGGGATGAGGCAGCCCAGCAGTAAAGACCGGCCATGTCTATTACAGGACAGGACGTACGTAGCACTTGACTTTTAAGGGAGAGAGCCTGGAGAGCTTAGGGGGTGAAAGTGTGCCTCAACCACTTGCAGGCAGCTCAGTAACAGGAATCTGCTGAAGAAATTCACTTGGGCTCATTTGCATTTAGTGTGGTTGAGAATCTGATAGGAAAGAGCTACAAGTTTATTCACTGTGGCCTCTGCCATACATGCCAGCAGAGTCTCAAGGTGTGGCTGAGCAATGGTGGTGTGCATTGCTGATCACGGGTAAAAGGAAAGGGGAGAAGTGAGGAGGAGGGGGTTGTTTTTTGTTTTCCTAGTAAGAAAAATGAGAACTGACTTGACACCCCTTTAATACAAAGTCACAAAAGGATGCTGTGCTGAATGATCGTGAAAATTTTTAGAGAGAAATGGTGAAAAGAAAGAAAGACAGCTAGGGAAAGCTACATGTGAGAAATTAAAATTCCTTCAGCCTCCTCCACCCCTCCTCTCCTCACCCCTCCCCAGACAGTAGGGGAAGCTTTTGTTGTCAGTCTTTCAAGGGACCAAAATAAGACACCCAAGCCCCTCCCTGAAAAAGTTTGAAGTCTTTGCATTTCTGGTTTGTTTGAAATGCCTAGTTAGATTAAACCCAGTCACTGCTCGTCTTTAAAACACACCATACCACGTCTGGCTTTAAGAGTCCCAAGTTTAGTTGCCCAGGACCAGAGGTGGTTTTTCCCACTACCCAGAGTTACTTTCCCTTTCCATTTTATTCCAAACAAGTCACTTAATTAGCAAGCAAAGTGAAATGTAACCATCTAACGTCCTTCTATTTTCTCTCCTGCACTTTGAACATTGAGTCAATCCATTTGACTCAAAAGAGGATACTAGATGATTAACAAAATAGGAATAAATAAAACCACAAATCATTCTCTCTTACACGGGTGGGGGAGCCATCTAGATAACAAACTGGTTCATACCTACATGTCAATTAGTAATCTGTCCTAATTCTTTCTCTGATTGGTTGGATGTTTTCTCTAGTGAAATTATGTTTAACCTCACTGCTACATTGTAAAAATCACACATAGCACAAACAAAGCCAAGGTTAGTATCTTTTCCAACCCAGATTTCATAGAGAAGTAACTGCAAGCTTGATAAGGTGTTCTCAATCTACAATGATTATATTTCGCTTAGCAGTAAGAACTACTGCCAAGTTTTCTATTTCACACTTTAAAAAGAACTGGTTGTAAGACAACATCTGGAAGAAATTCACAAGGAAACACACATCTTTGAACTCGATTAAGACAATGCAATTTTATAAAATGTTCTGCAACCCGGAAATACATGAGTTTTTAAAAGCACCAAAATAATTGGAATTGCAGCTCTTTTCTTAAAGAAATATTTTACCATAGGACACTAGAAAGGAAGAAGGTAAACACAACTGCTTTGTTGGTTAGTAATTGTTATCTCCATCACAATAACTATTTCAAGAAGGGTGACAAGCCTCAATTATGAGGCTAATGCCCACTGTTTTGTTGTTGTTGTTTACCAAAGCAATAGCCTAGGAAACTTTGCATTACTCTTCTAATTATATTATTTCGTTTTGGTGAGAAATTAAGGAGTTGATGATGTGATAGATATTCTTATTAAAACAGAGTAGAAGTAAGTATTTATTATCTACTTTTCTTACACAGAAGCCAAACGAGGGATGTATTGAAGAAATTCGGTGGATAAATGCTATTCTCAATGTGACTCTCACTCGGTTGCTTTAGGGTTGGGCCCGAAGCTTCTTGGAGAGTATAGATAACACATTTGTCAATACCTTAGGTGTTAACATACCATAACTTTCGAAATTACCAAGAAGTACAGATGTATGTCAACACACATTCCTTCACTGAGGATTTTGTTTCAAAATATCACAATATAGCCGTGCTTAGGACAAGCGTTTGGAATGTGAATACAGAAAGCTCAGGAAAGTTCTGGTATGTATGTAGCCAGTCATTTTCGCCGTTTACTTGAGGAAGAGGTAAGTTTCTTTTACTTAATTGCCATCCCTGTTAACTTTAAAAATGTTTTTGTTTGTTTGTTTAAAGAAATAAAGCAACATAGGTTGCAAACATTAGCAGGATCAAAAATTGCCAGAGAATGCGGGTTCCAAAAAGAACGATATTATTCTGACACTGGAAATTTTCTTCTGATTTAGTGGGCTTTCCCCCCCCCCCCATCTCTTTTCTTTAGCTTCTAAATAAATAGTAGCTTTACTTTTAATATCTACCTGCAGGAAGAAACTGACCCATTGTTACTACAAAAAAAAGAAGAAAGAAAGAAAGAAAGAAAGAAAGAAAGAAAGAAAGAAAGAAAGAAAGAAAATGAAAAAAAGAAGAAGAGAAAGAACGAAAAAGAAATCCTCGATAATCACGGGGCCCGAAAATGAGCTGCCACCGTTAACTCGGACGGTGGAATAAAGACCAGAAAGCAACCTCTGGTGTCCATGCTTCCTCAGAAACTCGGAGAGTCCCTCCCTTGTCCCAATCGGAGCCAGCTGGGTCCACCCGGGCAATCCGGCCGCCAGCTGCCAGCACCCGCCTGGCCCGGAACCCTGGGCGGCAGGAGGGTGGAGGGCCACTGGGATGGCAAAGCCTTGTGGCTGTGAAACAGGGTCCGAAGAGAGCGGAGAGGCAAAAGCCCAAAGTGACACCCGGGCACCCATCTCTTCTCAGACGCCAGAAAAGTTTTGCCACAGTGATCTGGGTGGCGCAGGACATCGCCTTGGACCAAGATCCCCCACCCTTCACCCGTGTCATTCTTCTGGGACCCTACCCGCCTCCTTCACCATTGCCTGCTGTCGCCCTCGCCGGGGCAGAGCGTGCGAGCTAGGGTTGTGGCTACGTACGGTTGTTGGGGTCGCTGGTGTGCTGGTTGAGCGGGATGATTTCCATGCGCTGCTGGCCGTACAGGTAATAGTCCAGCTCCTCGGCGCTGCAGCGGAAACGCGGGACGCCACGACCGTCCCCCGCGCTGCCACCGCCGCCGCCGCACTTAGCGGGCCCGGGGCCGGAGGAGGCGCCCAGGCACAGGTCCTTTGGGGGCAGAGGCTCCGCGGCCACCGCAGCAGCAGCTAGAGGCGCGAACACCGGGATCTGCGCCACCGGCAGGGCCGAGAGACCCGCCAGCGCGGCGGCGGCGGCGCAGGAGGAGGCAGAAGAGGCGGAGGTGGAGGAGGGAGCTGGGGTGGACGAGACGGACGAGATCGAGGCTGGCCGTGGCCGCAGGCTGTCCGGAGGAGGCTCGGGACGCTCGGGAGGCGGCGGAGGCGGAGGCGGCTGCAGGGGTTGGGGCGCGCCAAGGGGAAGCGCGGTCCCGCTGCCTTTGAGCGGGCCGCCGCCGCCTCCGTGCGGGAAGAGTTGCTGCCAGTGCTGCAGGTAGGCTGGGTCCACTTTGAGGAAGGCCGAGCCACCGGGGTCCCCCGGCTTCAGCATGTCCGACGCTTGGAGCTGGTGGGGCAGAGAGCAGGGAGGAGCGCAGCGTGAGCGAGACCCTGGCCTGGATTAGAAAGGGGCGTGCAGGAGGACCGCGGGGACAAGGGTGGAGCACTAGAGCCCCACTCTGCTCTGAAAGCACCGCCCGTGGCCTCGGCCCCCCGCTTCCCAACTCCGCCCGGGCGCAAAGTTTACTCGGAAGCCGCGGTGCTGCGCAGAGGTGGCTGCAGGCACCCTGAGCTGCCTCGCAGCCTGCGAGCCCAGCTCCTACCCTGCTAAACGGGGACCCCAAGACCCGGCGCTTTCCGGCACAAATCCAGGCAGGACCTCGCCCTCGCCCTCAGCCAGCGCCCTGGAGCCAACCCCAGGCAAAGTGGCGCAGCGCCGGAGCCGCGCTGGCCCCAGGCGCCGGGAGGCGGGACAGTCTCGCCCCCCGCCCCCTGCCCCAGACCTCCAACCTCTCGGTGCTCGGGGCCCACGACTGGAAGCCCTAGTCCAGCCCCGCCGTACCTGGGAACCGAGAGCAGCGGCCGGTGCTGGCGTCCCTGCGTTCCGGAGGCCGTTTCGGTGCAGTAGTGGAGAGTGGGAGCCCTGGGCGAGCTACATGACCCCAAGCTAGAGGAGGTGGAGAGCCTTACAGACCACGCAGCCTGGAGCCCTCCCGGGATGCCAGCAAAGGACGCGGAGGCCCGCGGAGGGCGCAAGAGCAGCTCCGCTGAGAGCGCGGGAGCGCTGGAGGACGCGGGACCTAGTCGCCTCTGGCAGCTGCGCTTGGCCGCCTCCGTGCTTCGGCTCTGCTCTGGCAGTCCCCCGGCTGGACACGTGGGTTTTACGACAGCACCAAATACATGTGTGCGTTCGTGTGTGTGTGTGTGTGTGTGTGTGTGTGTGGTGTGTGTGTACGCGCGCGTGTGTATGGGGGGCGAGACAGAGAAGGAGAGAACGGAGTGGGGGTGAAGGATGGAGGAAGGGAGGGAAAGACAAGAGGAAGGGAAGAGAAGAGGAGAGAAGAGTGAGCAGAGAAGAGAGGAGAGAAGAGGATAGGAGAGGGAAGGGGGCGGATAGAAGAGGAGGGGAGAGGAGGGAAGGGGGAAGGGGAGAAGAGAAGAGGAGAGGGGAGGAGAGCAAAGGAGAAAGAGTATAAAGGCGAGAGCAGGCCAAGGGACTGCAGGGGATCGGAGCGGGAAGGAAGTTCAAACTGGGCTGGTTTCGCAGACACCCGGTGCGCCTCCGCCTCTCCAGCGACAGACACACACACACACACACACACACACACACACACACACACACACTTTTTTAAAATTTAATTTTTGACGTGACGTCTTCGGCTTGTTTGTTGTTCCTTTTCTGTCCGCAATGTCTCTTTTCTAGGTGCGGGCTCAGTGCCCTGATGCCGAAAGCACTGGAAACCAGACAGGCACCTCTGGGTCAGCCAGTGTCTGTTTTGGAAGCAGGCGCACACCATGGGGGAGGGAGATATAGACCCAGTCCCCAGAGCGAGTTTGCTTTTTAGACGGGTTCTGATTTTCCTGGAATGCTGTTGGGTGCCAGAGTTGACTCGACCGCCAAACAATCTCTAACATAAATCCTCCGGAGAGAAAAGTTGGGGGCGAGGCCGGGCACGTTGTGCGTGGGCGTGAAACCCTCAGTCTGCAGCCCGAGTGGATCAGGAGGGCTTGAGAGCAAGCGTCCTCAAAGGACAAGCATGCCCTAGCAGGACTCCAGCCTGGCTGGGGTAAGGACAAGGCTGCAAGGGAGTCTGCACCCAGTTCTCAAGCACCCTCACTCTAAGTTTGCCTTCCAGGATTCTCCACCTTTCCTTGATGGCCTTACCAGTGTCTATTGAGTTACGCTAAGCCTCCGCTGCTCTGAAAGTTGGGGGGCGGGGTGCCCTGGGAGGTCAAATACGGGCCTCTAACTCAAATCTAGGGTTTCTTGTACAGGGTGCAAGCGCAGCCCACCATACCATGCCATCTCCCAGACCTTTGAGCTGCAGCAGCTCCACCACGCGTGATCTCGCGTCCGTCCTTTAGGCGCAAACTCTTAGCTTTCTGGCCTTCATAGTAGTACTCTGTGGCAGAGGGCAGTGACAAACTGTGAAATTGGCCAACTCCCGGGCTTTCTCCTGGCCAGGGTTCTGTCCACAGCTTAAAGAGGGGGATGGGATGCCATTTATCTTTCCACAAACAACCCAATTTATTTAACAGTCACCATCCCGAACAAGTAATCTCCATTCTTTCCTAATTTCTGTTCGTTTCGTTTTTCCTTCCCACCACTCATTTTGTTCAAGCCTGGGAAACGCGCTGTTTAGACTTTGTCCGGGTCTCAGGCAGAACGCCTCCCTCCTGGTTGGAGCCGAGTTGGACCGAAAATGTTTTGACTGGCGTCCTTAAGACAAGGCCATCCGTCATCCCTGGATAGATTGATAGCACCCAAGTCTGAGGCAAGTACCACGAGGGAAAACCCACTGCGTTGTAGACCCCGAGGCTAACCAGGCAGTCTTCGAAGACTTCAGACAACTCCCCGGAGAAGGGACGGAGTTCCAGGCCCCTTTCTATTAATCTGTATGCAGAATTGCTGTGGCTGATGGGACCCCGGGAGACAGATCTAACTCTCTCATATCCCTCCTAGTTCACTGCAGAGAGTCCTGGATTTTCCTGAGGTCTCCGTGAGAAGCAGAGCGCTTTGAGAATGGAAGTCTGGATACGCAGACACTGACAAGAGCAGGATATTTCCTAGAGTTTGGTCCCCAGAAATGGAAGTGTCAAAGAGTCAAAACCCTCTTTCTTCCCTACAAAATATCAAGTGGCCTCTGCCACTCACACCATGGCTAGAGAGGGTGGGCGGGGCACCACACTCATCTCAGTAAAATAACCTGCGGTTAAAGATTGCTTAGGATGTGGGATGCACATACATTTAGTGTATCCAGCTACCATGCTGCTGGTGGTAAGGTATTATTAACACCTATATTGCATACAAATGGTAATCAGAATGTTCTGAAAGGTTAGAGAGATTGCCTAAGGTCAGGCCACTAATGAATGATGGAGGCCTGTTCAAACTCCACTCAGTGGGTTGCCAGTGTATGTTTCTAACTACTCTAGTAATCTCTAGTCATTACATTGAGCCTGGCCTGGAAGTTGCTGGGGTATCACAGGAGAGGTCTGCTTCTGGAGTCGGGAATTAGGCAATTAGACAGAAGAAGTGGTAAATGCCTTCTCTTCCATTATGCCTGCTGTACAATATATAACCTGTCACATTTGAGGCCAGCCCTCAGGCCTGCCTGCCAAGGTATATTTGAGGTACTGGATACAAGTAGACAGTGAGGAGATAAGGCCCTAGGTAGCAAAGGACACAAGGAACTTCCTAGAAAGAGGAAGACACCGTTACTGCCCCAGGGCTGGGAGCAAATGAGAAGGTCTTCAGGGGATCTTCTACAGCCTGGGCATCCCCAGTGCTTCTGCAGGTCCAAGGCACTGACTGTGGCCTGGGTCAGCTTGGTCCTTGCCATAGGCAAGCCGCAGGGTGACACTAGCAAACTTGCTTTGTCACTAGGCTGACCCTCGAAGGCCTGGAATATCTTCGGGTTTTTAGAAAGTGAGCCGATAGACTGCAGGGATGTTGTATCCCTCAGATCTCTTCCCTTCTCTTACTACTTAGAAGATGGGGAAACAAATCACTCTGACCACTTAGGAAGCGATCAAACCTGCATAAAAATCCATCGCTCCTGAATCGATGGGTGAATATTTGCTGGGAATTTGTTCCAGAGGAATGAATAAGGAGTGAGAGTGTATTTGATGCAAAAGGGGGCACAGTAGTGTTTTTCTTCATTGATTAATGACCTCTAAAATAAAACAAGTGGGAAGAGGAGTTGGGATCAATAAATTAACTGCCCCAATTTATCATTTCTCCAGGATCCACCCCCCCCCCGAAAATTCTCCCTAGGAAACCCATTGTACCCTTAGCTGAGCAGAAAAAATGGAGCCTGAGGCGGGGCAGGCAGACAGTGGTGAGCAGGGAAGGAAATCAAGAAGGCGGTCTATACAGGAGACCCCCCCCCCATCTGACTTCATTTGACATAGTTAAAAAGTTTGCCTTCCATATTAATTACTTTTTTCTTGGTGGGGGAGGGAAACAAATGGCTGTCACCTTTGACAGGACTCCAATAAGAGATTCAGCAGCTCTCCATTCTGCCCTGGGTCCTCTTGTTTCTAGGCTTAAGGTCACGGGTGGCTGAGTTAATAATTCATTAATATAGACATTTATTCAGAAGGGTTTTCTGAGTTCTGCCCTCCCTGCCTCCTCTTGGAGATTTATTTTCCTGAGAAGTGGGTGGGGGTGGGGGTTGCTGGCAAAAGGAGTTGTAGGATTAAGGAAGCTGGAGGTTCTGGACATCCCCATCAGCCATCCTAGGGGGTAGGCTTCTTCAGCTTACCACCAAATTACTGGTCAAATGTGTTTGAAAACCAGTTGTTCCTTAGGGCAAGGATTCTGGCCTCTAGTGGCTCCTTTGTCTACCTCTACAGATGTCCAGAAAGCTCAGAGAGGGCCCTGGAGTTAGAGCAAAGAGAAAGCTCTCAAAAGCTTCCTCCACCTTTCCTGGAGAAGGGTTCAAACTTGCCCTGACCTGGGATCTAGGAACTTTCTTACTAGGAACACAGGCAACTTCAGGTAGATAGTTGTCTCTCTGAAATGGAACCCTGGAGACATTACAAAGCAACATCTCAGGCCCAAATCCTCTGGTTTATATCTAAGGAGATAGGTTGGGATGAAAGGATACTGAGTCGAGTCAGATAGAGAGGTGTGCTATGGGAAGCAGTGATGGATGGGAGGGTGGGGAGCAGTGATGGATGGGAGGGTGGGGAGCAGGGATGGGAGGGTAGGGAGCATGGATGGGAGGGTGGGAAGCATGGATGGGAGGGTGGGAAGCAGGGATAGGAGGGCAGGAAGAAAAGAGAACACCCAGGTAGAGTATAAGACCCATAGTAGCCAGGGCTGAGCTGCTCCTAGACGATGTCATTTGGATGAGATTAAAGCAAAGAGAAACCAGTTTTGTCTTTGGGATAGGACACTCTGTGGCTCAGGTGCTAAAACAGTTAAAGGGCCTTTGGGGTTGTAATTCTACCTCTTGAGCTATTGGCCCCCTGTCAACCCTCAGGGCACTGTGAGCTACTAGACATCCTACCAGGATATGCATTCATGCTTCATGTCAGTTGGAGTCGCTTCTGTGCCTGGTGGCTTAAACTGACACAATGATCTACTCCCAATTGTCTGGGTCTGAATTTCTTCAAAGACAAAATGAAAAGACGAGACCAATGTAACTTTCCATCCCAAGCTTTGCATGAAGTGGACCCTGCCTTGTAACCTCTGTACCTGCTCCCTAGAGGTCAGGTGTCTGACCTGTGAGATGTTCTGGAATCAAGAAAGCCCACCATTTACTCAAATCACTGTGGTCTCCTCACTGATTCCTTTGCATTGACACTTGTTTTACTCAGTGACAGAAGAGTGACAACCACTGAGGGAAATAAAGGGGCCTGGGGTGGGTGAGGTGGAAGGCCATTTTCAGCTCCTCAGG